AAAAAAAACCCCCCCCCCCCCGAAAAAAAAAAAAAAAAAAAAAAAAAAAAAAAAACTTTAAAAATGTTCTTCCCTGTTCAAAAGGTATAATCCAAATATCGAATTCAAGTATATTCAAAAATACACCTCTTGATTTTGAAATAAGCAACACCAAAAATTCTGGGGGAGCAGGCTCCCCAGGCACCTCCACCGATCTAGATTCACCGGCGCTCTAAATTTCCGCCCTATGATCGAAAAGGATCGTCAATTTTGGTATCGATAGATACACTGCCTAGTGGCGTAGCTACTATTATTGCCACCATGGGCGGGAACATATTTTTGCCGTCCTCCCTTTCACGATACAAACACTGCAATTGTCCGAAAATGTCACACCTGCATACAGAGCCGTTCCTAGTCATAGCCAAAGTAGGCGATCTTCTAGGCCCCCACTGCCAAGGATGCCCACTCCCCCACCGGGCGCTTTTAAAAAAAAATTACAACTTGCAAGTCCAAATATTTCAGAATTATACATTTTCTCTAAAGCCGGAGTTATCAATTGGTTAGTGATAGTGGTTACACGAGAGCAAAGAGGAAACAGTGACGAAGGCAAAGTGAAGGTGCCGTAGTGGTGGGTAATGTTTGCTCCTAAGCTCCTGGGGAGCTTCGCCCCCGCACCCCCTTTCCTTGGCCCCTACATACGCCCCATGCCTAGGGCCCCCAAAATCACAAGAACGGCCCTGCTGCATATAAAGAAAGAGTGACACCTGGGTGGACCACCATAACCGCCCTATTTCGACGACACTAGCAGGGGCGTATCTGCAGTCTTTGGCGTTAAGGAACAAGATTTATTTTATACCCCCTCCCATTTAACTCTGAAACTGATTATTTTCAACCTTTAAATACCATCAAAGCCCCCCCCCCCGCTAGTCCGCGNTTTAAACGATCTTTAATAAAAAAAAACTAAACGATCTTAAAGAACAAACTAAGTGATTTTAAGAACGATTTAAATGATCTTTAAGAACAACTAAGCGATATTTAAGAACAAAATCAATGATCTTTAAGAACAATCTTAGCGATCTTTCAGAAAAAACTTAGAGATCTTTTTGAACAAACTAAATTATCTTTAATAACAAACGAAAAGATCTTTAAACAAAAACTAAGCGATCTTTAAGAACAAACTAAGCGTTCTTTAAAAACAAACTAAACGATCTTTAACAACAAGATTTTATGTTAGATGTTTATTTAGTAATATTCACGATTATCTCATTTTTTATAAAAATAATGTAAATATTTATACTTTCCCCCATTTTCGATGTATGCAGAATGTATGCGGGAACACCCTACATGCCAGATTGCAATTTTTCAACTGAAAACATATTCACAAAAAAAAAGGCCCCATAATTTAGTTGTTAGCTAAAGGGCTTTTAAAGAATTTCAGAATTCCATCACGAGCGATGCCGTTAATATTGGCTAGTTTTAGGAAAAATTAAAACTATGACTTCATTACCAGGGGTAATAAGGGGAGAGACTGCAATCAGGTTAGTACAAAATAAAAAGAGCCCTTATTTTGACTTCATTACCATTCAGTATCGGTTTTTGAATATGGATAATCAAGCGTATGTGTATTATGTTAGATCTTGTGCCATTCACCCATGCCCATGCAGGAGCATTTCTTTAGTTTTATATGTATACACCCCATATAAGGCAAAAAAAAGAAATTTGGGCCCCTATAAAATAGCTGAACATCTAATCTAAGTTCTTTGGGTTCTTTAGTATTTAAAAATATTTTGAACTTTCATCTTTTGCACCTCACTAATTAAATAATTAAAGCTTTCCTTGACCAACTGTTTAATTGTTTTCACACGGCAAACTCTTATTAATAAAACTCTGAGATTTCGCACATGGAAAATTATGATAATTTATAATATGGACTCTATCGCCATTTTAAACCTCAAATGAAAATATTCTGAAATTCTGGTTTAAATGCCATCTAAATTCATTCTGAAACACAAGATATCAAATATTTCCTAATCTTTTTCACAGACGCCCATTTCCAATACAAAATTAAGTAGTAGTCTCCCTCTTTGTTTACCCAAGTTTTAGCCTTCGCCTTCAGTCTTCAGGAAAACAAAAAAAAGAGTTCACCATAATCACTTTACACATTTACATATGTCATTGTTTAAGATGTGATCTTGACCTATTTTTAATATTATCATATATTTTTTATGTTTTTGAATTTGGTCCGTGTTGTATCCGTCTGCAGTGACTAGAGGCTCATTTGATAATAAAAAATAACAAGAAGTCAAATAAATAGATATGATATGAAATGTTCATGAAGAAAGCTCATAATCATAGTTCGATATATCTACCAAGTCAGAGTATCATGGCCTAGATTTTGTTTGGTGACCGCTGTACTTTGTGATGTAACTCAAAATCTTTTCAAGTATGACATATTTTATATAATAATAACTTTTGCAAACCTCACAAAAAAAAAAAAAAAAAAAAAAAAAATAA